TAAAGCCGGCTCTTTCATCATGCTAGCTCATAAGTTCTTCTTTACGTTGTATTAGGCGCAGAACACCATAATTATGGTGCAGCAGCATTCAAAACGTGCATTGACCCACTCTGAGAGAAAAATGTATGTATTTGTCCATTTTCCTGTCTCATTTTAGACTCGAGTAGATAATATATTGTCATACTAAAGTAATTGCATTCTCCATCGTGATTTAGATGAGATCAGAACAGGCCCCTGGCGCCATCTTCACCATCCTGACAGAATGATCACCGGCTACGAGGACGCAGCAAACAACTTTGCTCGTGGCTTCTTCACAATTGGCAAACTGTTAATTTCGCCAGTTCTCAACGAGCTTCGACGTTGTTTTGAGGCCTGTGATGCACCTCAGGGCCTGTTATTCTTTCGCAGCCTTGGCGGAGGCACGGGCGCCGGACTGACGGCTGCTTTGCTCGAGGTGATGACGGAGTACAGAAAGTTGACCAAAGTCGAAGTGCCCATCTACCCGTCACCGTCACTCTCCAACTCTCTCGTAGAGCCCTACAACAGCCTGCTTGGAGAACACTTCGCCATGGAGGACATCAATTTGGGCCTTTTGATGGACAACGAGGCCCTCTACGACATCTGCTCCCGGTACCTGGCCAATCAGACAGCCACATACACATCAATCAACCGCCTTCTCGCTCAGGTTACCAGCGCGATAACAGCATCCCTTCGCTTTCCCAATGTCCTTAACGGTGACCTGAATGTAATTCAGACCAACTTGATCCCCTATCCTCGAATTCACTTTCCACTCAGCAATTTTGCGCCCTGCATTTCACCCGAGAAGGCAGAGCATGAAAGTGTTTCCACACGAGAGTTGACTCGTGCTGTATTCGAGCGTGAGAATCAAATGGTCAAAGTTGATCCGAGTTGCGGTAAATTCATGTCATGTAGCCTCCTCTTTCGTGGTAATGTCAGTCCCAGCGAAGTCTACCTTTCGTTGATGGAGCTGAAGACTAATAAAGGCATTGACTTCGTCGACTGGTGCCCGACTGGCTTCAAAGTGGGCATTACATCAGAACCGCCGGTGACTGTAACCGAGAGTCGAGTGGCTCAATGCAGCAAAAATGTTATAATGTTGGCCAATAACTCTGCCGTCGGGCAGGCCTGGCAAAGATTAACGCACAAATTCTATCTGCTCTACTCCAAACGCTCCTTCATCCATTGGTTCATCGGTGAGGGTATGGAGGAGAGTGAATTCACCGACGCCTTGAGTAACATGACAACGCTCGTGAAAGACTACGAAGAGGCCTCTATGGACACTGTACAGGTGGGCGAAGACCAGGCCATTGATGAATAGCCTCTATGTCAGCGATTTTGGGGAATGCGAAAAAAAGGTCAGGGGCAACCTGACGAAACATTGAAATTGAGTGAGACTTGGCGAAAAAACATTGATTTCCTGTTGAAATTTCGAAGAGCTCAGACATCTGAGTAATTGTGCAAATTGTGTTGCATATTTTCTTCCAACTCTCTGCACTTCGGTGCATTCTTCTATCCGGCTAGATGCACACTAGCAGTCTCCCATTCTCAGGAGTAGGTTCAGTTTCATCCGGTTTCCTGTTTCAGTAGGAGAATTTTATTTGTAAAAATGGATCAAAATTCTCTTGAACTAAACTTTATTTGCCTATCTTTTTTAAAAAAAAACCTTGGAATAAGCCAACTTTTGCTTTACATTCTTTTAATATCACGATCACGGATAGCATGATCCCATCAGGGAACTGTAAATAAGGATGACTAACAACATGGTGCG